CTTATAAGTACTGTAGTGCATAAAATACGGCAGAGCTGAGAAAGAAGAAATACTTCGCGTACTGCAGATAACGCATCAACGTGTTACTTAGCATAAAAACTACTGTTAATTACAACGAGAAAAAAATCACATTTAGTATGATCAATTTTGACATGGTTAACCGAGGCAATGATTAATCGAGACGTCGATCAATCGGAACGGTGGTCGATCGGGAGGGTGGCCAATCGGGACGGTGGTCAATCGGGACGGTGGTCAATAGGGACTGTGGTCAATATTAACGTGATCAATCGGTACGGTGGTCAATAGGAACTGTGGTCAACATTAACGTGATCAATCGGGACCGTGGTCAATTGGGACGGTGGCCAATCGGGACCGTGGTCAATCGGGACGTGGCCAATCGGGACGGTGTCCAATCGGGACCGTAATCAATCGGGACGGTGGTCAATCGGGACGGTGGTCAAACGGAACGGTGGCTAATCGGGACGGTGGCCAATTGGGACAGTGGTCAATCGGGACTGTGGTCAATTTCAACGTGGTCAATATTAACGTAGTCAATAGCAACGTGGTCAATAACAACGTGGTCAATCGAAACGGTGGCCAATATTAACGTGGTCAAACGGGGCGCTCCCATGTCTGTGTAGTCGCCGTCGAAGAATTAAGTGTCTTCTAGGTCTCGCCTCACTCTCGCCTTTCACGTCTCTTTTACAGCTCTCTTGTCTCTTTAACAATTTTCTCGTCTCTTTCTCAGAACCCTCATCTCTCTCATGACTCTCTCGACTCTCTAACAATTCTAACGTCTCTTTTTCAGTACTCTCGTCCCTCTCACAACTCTCTCGTCTCTTTTACAGTTTTTTTATTTTTCTCACGGCTCTCTCCTATTCCTCACATCTTTCTCGTCTGTTTCTCTGCTTTCTCATCTCTTTCTCAGAACCTTCATCTCTCTTCCGACTTTTTCGTCTTTTTTAAGGCTTTCACCTCTCTTTCAAGACTCTCGTCTTTCTAACAATTTTCTTGTTTCTTTCTCGGTACCCTCGCTTTTCTCACAGCTCTCTTGTCTCTCTCACGAGTTTCTCGTCTCTTAGACGACTTTCTTATCTCTGTCACAATTTTCTTGCTCTCTCACGGTTCTGTCATCCTTCTAACAGCTCTCTTGTATCTTTCATAGTGATGATATACGATTCATTTAATCATTAAATTAAAATAAAATGAATATATATTATATAGAAAATAAAATGAAATGGAACATGAAATGAATTAAATAAAAAAATAAGAAATAATATAAGTAAAATAAATGAAATCAAATAAATAAACAAATAAAGAATAAAACAAATAAAATAAAAAATAAAATGCAATGAAACGAAAGTAAAATATAATAAAATAAATAAAAAATAAATATTAAAATGTAAAGTAGAAAAGACAAAATAAAATAAATATTGTGTATTTGTGTAAATAATAGATTCTTAGGAATGTAACACTAATCATGACTGAAAAGTAATTTTTCTAAAATAGTTTTGTTTATTTTGATATTTAAACAATTAGGATAAAATGGTTTCGTAAACGCTGTATTTTATTATAAA